GAGCCTCTCCTGCCAAGAAAAACCTCCATTCCCCCGCTGCGGGTTGCCATGGCAATCCCAGCCTCCACATCCCCTCCCAACGCCCTGCATCTCCGCTGGACCACGGCGGACATCCCCGAGACAGAAGGCTGCAAATGAGGGGGGGATAAAAGCCTGGGGTGGTGCACAGGGCAGCCCAGGAGGGGCACCCACCCATGTAGCCCAGCACCAGCACCCATGGGAGCATTCACCCGGGAGGCAGGATGCTGACAGCTGCTCCGTGCCGCTCATTAAAAAGGGCAAGGAGTCAGGAGAACCTCAAATCCCAACTAATCCCCACCCCCCCACACACTCCCAGCCAGCAATCTGACCTGCTGCTGGACAAGAAACACTCCCAGGGTGGTTTCGTGAGCGGGGAAATCAGAGAAAACACTTGCAGCGGTTATAAATCAAGAAACAGACCCCTTGGCCACAGGCTGAGAGTCCTGTCACCCGCCCTTAAAATGGGCAGAGCTGTTCCCAGCACCCAAAGGGCACGAAGAGCCACTGCTGGAGCTGTGTCAGGAGTCAGGCAGGGGTGGCACGGTGTTAAATAGCTGTGGGGCCAGCTACCCCCAGCAGCCCCAGCCCCCCATCCTCAAGTTTTTACACCTGGACACCGCAGAAGGAAGTTTAAAAATAATGCTGCCGGGCGCCAGTCACAGGATACACAGAGCAGAGCTGAAAGGAGTGACCTTAAAATAAAAATCACCTGAAGGATGGGAGTGCAAGCAGAGCCCCAGCCTTGAACCTGGGTAAAGTGGTGCAGCAGGGGGCTGCACCCTGACACGAGTTTCTGCAGACTTTGCTCTGGGCAACAGAGATGCTCGCTGTGCCAAGATGTATTAGCCCTGGCCTCAGCTAAGCGAGGAAAGGGGCTGGCCCAGCCCCATCACTGCACCCTGGGCTGATCCCAGCACCCTCAGGCAGGACCCCGCAGCACAGGACCGGACCCAACCCCCCCCTCGGGGTCCCAACACTCAGGAGCCTCTGGGGCTGGTGCTCAGCCATGCTCTGGGGATGGAGGTGCCTGCAGAAACCCTGTGCAGGATGGATCTGCCGTGAACCCACATGGTTTTGGGGCAAATCACACCAGCACAGGCCACCTCAGATGCAGTCTCAGAAGAGATTTTGGGCCATGCCAGGCCAAACCCACCCTGGCTTATTGATTTAAATCATGGGCTGGAGACCAGAGACAAGGGGTTGAACACCCAGCACTACTCATTCTGCTCTTCCTCCTCTTGAAAACCACACCAAACCGTTAAAAAGACTTGTCCCACAAGCCTAAACCCCACAGCATTGGGGTTGACAGGGCTGCCAAAGGTGGGGGGGGCATGGGACGCAGGAACACAGCATCAGCATCACCCCAAGGCTCACACAAGACTCCCAGGGAGAAGCCCCCAGCTTCCTCCCCACCTCAACACCACAGACCCCTCCACACACCGATGACGACTCCGAGACAGGTCTGAACCACCACAACCCTCCTTCAGCCACCCCAGGCCTCCCCCGGCAGGGCGCGCGTCACACCCCCCCCCTCCCCAAAGCTCAGCCCTGGAAGAGGGTGGCGGGGGCGTCGGAAAAAGGCAAGGAGTAAATCACACCACCCGTGAAGCACCAGAAGCATTTGTTGAAACCAGGATATTGTCTCTTTAAGCACATGAAAATAAGGCCCTTGAGCAGTGTGGTTCTCACTCTGGCGCACAATTATGGGTACTTTCAGCTGTCTACCACTATTTCAAGTGCTCTCTCCAACCAGGCTGTCAATGGCATGTTGAAAGCTATTTGTGGCTGCTATCGTTATTAGCAAAGTGGAGAGCTTCACTGATGAGAATTAAATTCAGGGAGGGGGTGTGGAGGGGCGGGCCACAACCCCTTATTACAGAATTACCATCAGTACCAGGGCTGCAGGGGTGGGCAGAGCTCACTCAGGACCCCCAAAACCCACCCGCGACCCCCAGAACCCAGTCAGGACCCCCGGTGTCTCCCGCAAAGCTGAGGGGAGGGAGAGGTTAAGCTGGCTGACAGCTATTCCCTTCCACCTTAGGAGACCTGAGAGTATCACACTAACAAATTACTTGGCTTCTGAAGTATTTAGCAAATTATTACCTGGCACTCCTCGCTAACGAGCGTGACAGAAAGTATATTGTGTTCTCAGAATATTCTAGGGAAAAAAAAAAAAGCATCCCTCTCTTCCCCTGGAAGTGTCAGGAGAGTTTAGGTTTGTTCCAAGCATTAAGTGTTTAAGCACAAAACCAAGAAGTGCTTATGTGGAGAGTTCTCAGCCATGAAAAAACAATCAGCACATAGGTTCTCCCCTCCACGGTGTCCCCTTTACCCACGCAAAATTAGTTTTTCTTTTGGAATCGTCATTCCCTTCAACTGTATTCGGCAATTATCCACAGAGATCTGAACAAAACCAATGCAAAAACAACAGGGGAACAAAAGTTCCTTTTGTAAAAAAAAAAATCAATTAACCTTAAAAAAAAAAAAGGGGGGGGAGGGGGTAGATTTTGCTCAGGTTTAAAAAGAAAACTCCCAACTGGCCTCAGGTTTAAGAAAGCTGAGCTGGGATAAGAGTGGCTCATTCAGCAGGAAGACTGATCTAAGGAGCAATTCGCTGCGTTATATGCAACAATGTGGGTAGTCACTTCCTAAATATTTCCTTGCATATGGAGTTGTTTATGAAACTACATTTTTTTCTTAACAAGAAACAAAACGAGAAAAAAGGAAAAAAAAAAAAACCCACACGCGGCCACATATGCACACACTTAATATTCAGCGTAGAAGAGATAATCTGTTATATAAGCCCACAGACAGACAATCCCCTTTTGCTTAAAGATGAAGTATCCATCAATGTTTGTCTCAAGCAGATGTAATCACAAGCAGTCAAGTCTGGAGGGCAGGACACTGCATGAATAATTCAAGCACTTCAGTCTACTTGATTGTGTGCAGATAAACACAAGTCAACCGCTAAACAGGTCAGCTGATAAAACTTGTTTGTTCAGGACTAGCCACCCTCAACCAGATGCAGGCAGGACCATGCTGCAATTAGCGCCCGGCTGCCTTTTGGGGGGATGCCACAGCCCCAGAGAGGGGCAAATCCTTCGCGGGCACCCAGCTCGCCCATCCCATCGCTCTCTCTTGCCCCATTTTCGCCTGGAAGCGCGCTGGGAGCAGCTCCGGCTGCTTTGTTTTCCTCCAGCACCATGCACATTGCTGTCAATTAAATAACAAGACAGCTTCACCTCCCCAAACTTCCCCCATCAGCCCAGCACTAGGCACGCAGCATATGTCACCAGGAACAACTAAAGCAGGCGGGGGATGCTGGGCACAGGCTGGAATCATCCGGCGGAGATTGATCTGCCGAGTTGCAAGGCAGCGAAGCTCCCAGCACGGCACGCCGACCACGCAGGGCCTCCCCGGGCCGCCGACGCTGCGGCGGGGGAGCTGCCACCCTGCAAAATCCGGGTCCAGCCCCACGGAAAAACTGCCCCCGGGCGTTTTGAGGTTCCCCTCAGATACCCTCGGAAACCCCGGCAGAGGCGTCACCTCGCCAAACGCCACGGGGAGGCCACGCTGCACGGTCACACCGCGGGACGGGGCGGGCGGCGGAGAGCTCCAGCCACACGCCGACAAAGCCGGAGCCCACGACGGGCTTTCACCTCCCAGGCCCCGGCACTCATCCCGCGGCGCAAAGCCTCACAGGTCAGGTTTGGGTTCCCACCACGGACCGTCGGAAAACGGCAACTGCTCCCAAAGCTTCCATCAAGAGGAAAAGCTCAACATCTTGCTGTATTGTTTCAGCATTTCCCAGCATTTGCGCAGAGCGAAGCAGTTCAACACCGAGCGACCGGGCGGTAAGAGGCATTCCCCCTCCCGAAAACAACCTGCGCTTGCGTGGCTCCAGTCCCTCCAGCGTTTCCGAAAAGGCCACAGAGTCGGGGTCCCTCCGGACGCAGGCAAAAGGGGGACAGGGTCCTCTCGCAGGAGGCCACCACGGGCCTCAGCAGAAATTCTGCATTTGGGGGTGTTCCTGAGTGCACTGAGGCAAACTGTGCCCGAGGTTTCCACCAGCCGTCGGCCAGTCCCGCGTGCCCCCGCCATGGCAGACCTGGCCTCCGAGCAGCCCCCTCCAGGGCTCCCCGCAAGCAGGGCTGCCTAGCCAGGACGCTTTTGTCCAGGCAGAAGCAACGAAGAGAAAGAAGTTGGGATTATCTGCATGGCAGAAGATATTTTTAAAAAACTGAAGACTAAGCAGTAATTATTTTCGTTACCCTGTGACTACGTATCAGAAAGCTAAAGGGAAGCGTGCGAAGAAGAAGAAGAGAGGCAGATTCACAGACCCGCCGCTTTGAATTTCATCAGTCAGCTAACGACACTTTCTTACTCAGGAGGGTGATGCTGCTATTAAGCAAAACCACTCTGGAGTTGAATGGGGCTGATTTGCGAATTGCAAAGTTGATGTCAACTTCTATCTGCCTTAAGTTCTTAATTAGAACTACTTCTAAAACCAGTAAGCAGCAGCAGCACAAATAATCAGGTCTAATCTCAATAATAACTTTATTCCTTTAAGTTTTACCATCATGTGCCCAGCCTTTAGGCTCTTTAACTATAATCTTATCAAGGTAGCACACCACATTCTGCTACCTTCTGTATTTTTCCTTCAGGCAAGTAACATATTAGAGACCAAAAAAAAAAAAGTACCAAACATTGCTACATTTTCCAGATGCAAAGACAAATCCGTGACATTGAGCAACACACCATAAGATATCAGTATCCCTGAAGATAATTCCCTTCTAAGTCTCACGCTACAGCACGGCGAGTATCAGAGGTATGACCTTAGAAACAGTCATGTTGTACCAACAACAAAACCAGAGGAAAACGCAGGAGATAACAGCATTTTCCAAGTGCTGGGAACACACTATTCCAGGGACCAACCTCCCAGCGTGGAAGGCAAGGCTATTTTCACCTCTTCTCATAAACACTCTCTGCAAAATCTGTTTTCCCTAAACATGGGGAAAAAAACCCACAAAACCGCAACACCGGGCTGCCATCAACCTGCAGTTGCCAGTGTAACTGCCAGGCCAGGAGGTCTCAGCTGGAGTCACATCCCTGACTTCAGCACTTATTCCCCATTTAGCGCAATCAGGGCCTATTTGATCTCAGGTTGAGAAAAGGGCAACAGGAGATCAATCAATCACAATTTCCCCCCTTTAAATTACTCACCTGTTTGTGCATTTCAATATTCAAACCATACGACATTTCGTAGTACTGGGGAATAAAATAAATAAATAAATAAATAAGGGAGCCAAGAAGAATTTGAATTAATTTAACATCAGGTATTTGCATAAGGTCATTACCAGAAAGCATCCCGGTCAAAACTGTGCTTAAAGCACTGGTAGCCAAGGAAATTATACCTTAGAAAAGGCTGATGTTTATAGGGTTTAACTGGCATGCATTTAACAGGAGGACACTCCTTTTTACTCCTGTTTTCTCCTCCTAAGCTACTTAGAAAAACAAAGAGGCACAGAGCTGTGTGACAGGCGTCTGCACAGCCCTGGCAGAACAGGTACAGCCCGTAGTCTGGCCAAAAACCCAGCTTCTCACTGGAGGGGGTGGATTTATTCCCCCCACCCCTCCCTGGGTCCAGCACCGCTGCTGGGAGCCCGGGGAGCATCCCAATCCCTTCCCCCCGCGTTGGGAAAGGGGGTGCTAGGTCCTGTTAAACCGATTAAACACGCAAATGAGCCCACCTTGGGGTTCCACGAGGCAAATTTTGGAAGGGGAAAAAAAAAAATATAAAGGCTTCTGCAGCAACAAAAAAAAAAAAGCCCATTTTCCTCCGGAAAGGGATGCCCTGGGAAGGCACCAGGGTGGGGGGCTCACCCCGCCCCACCGAGCACCCCGGAGGCGCTAT